TGAAAATGGTGTAGTTAATAGATAAAACCTTTTCTTTGTCAGGTGATAAAGGGAAAAGAGAAAATTTAAGATTTTTTCGGACAAAAATTCCAGTTTTTACGAACAAATTTAGATTTTCATGAGAAAAAATGATTTGTAAACGGCAGACATCAAGCAGAGAAATAGGCTTAAAAGAGTATATACAACCAAAAATTCCAATTTTTATCCAAAAATTGATTTTTTTCATGAACATTTGAAAAATTCTGAATATTTTTTTCTAAATTCCCCTTTCTTATTCCAGACATGTGCCCGAGTGATGTTAAAAGACGTCGACAAGTAAGTGTACGGCCGTCGTTTGCTAAGTCAGAATTTGTCATACTTGGCGAAAAAGTCGATAACCTCACAAATTCTGGGCAAAGCAAAGAAACACACGAAATGTCCACATTGCGGTGCAATTAATGGGCCGGTCAAAAAAGGGCCTGGTTTGATGAAGATATTGTATGAGCCATTTCGCGGAAAGAAAACCACAGATCCTATCATGCAAGAGCAGCTCAACGAGCTTCAAGAGGCGACCGTGAGAAATCGAGAGTTGGCAGCAATGATTGGACCAGCTGCCCTGATTTGTGAATTGAATCCATTGCAAGTGTTGGATTTATTCAAACGAATCCCAAAATCCGATGTGCCACTGCTTGGAATGACTTCTGCCGATGCAAATCCAGCCAATTTGATCGTAACGCGCGTCTTTGTGTCACCAGTTTGTATTCGGCCAAGCGTCGTATCGGAAATCAAAGCCGGAACAACGGAAGATGACTTGACGATGAAGCAGAGCGAAATTTTACTCATCAATGACGTTATCAATAAGCACATGACCAGCGGTCATAAAATCGAACAAGTCCAAGAGGATTGGGACTTTTTGCAATTGCATGTTTCGTTGTATTTCAACAGCGAGGTGTCGGGCATTCCGATGACGATGTTGGTGAGTTGAACAAATTGGTGAAAAATTGCTCTAATTTGTTTTCCGTGATTTTCATTCATTAAACCCATTTCTTCCAGCCCAAAAAATCATCGCGTGGCATAGTGCAGCGGTTGAAAGGCAAACAGGGTCGTTTCCGTGGTAATTTATCTGGCAAGCGTGTCGATTTCTCTGGTCGTACTGTAATCTCGCCGGATCCAAATCTTATGATCCATCAAGTGGGTGTGCCCGAGCGAGTGGCTAGAATTCTTCTTTTTCTTGACTAAATTTGCATTCCCATTTATTCTGAGGTAAAGTATGATTCATGCTCTTGTAAATTATTCATATGTTTCCCGATTTTTATTGAAGTGAAAAAAAATATTTCTTCTTCTATTCATCTTTTCTCTCATTCAAATTGAATGTCTGCTGCTTTATATTGAAACCATGGGAAGAATAATGTGTAAAAAAATCAAAAAAACAAAATAACTTTTTGTTGTTTCAGTAATGAGTTACTACATAGGTAAAGCTAAAAAAAAGGAAAGCCTCTTATGTATTTCTATTGAAAGGAATCTAATCGATGGATGGCAAATGATGAGATGGCAGAAGATGAGACAAACAATTTCGATTCCTAATTATTTCATCCTACACCTGTTATAAATCTGCTAATCATTAAATGATCGCCATTCAAAAATTCCAAGAAATTTGGTAATAGAGCTATGAGATGTTTGTTGCTCAAAGTATCACTATCATAAGCTTTGGCTGACTGTCTATGTCTGCTTCTAAAAGTAAAAAAAATCCGACAAAATTATGACCAATTGGGTTATTCGGTTTCAAGGTATGTTCCATCGTTTTCAACATTTCCAGAGTTTAAAAATTTGAAGGAAAATCAAATAAAAACGGTATTTCTATTCGCTGAGCCAAATGAACAATGTTGAAGTTTTAATTCTTTTAATTGAGTTTAGAAAATATAACAAATCTTTTCAGAAATCGAATATTCGTTCCACAAAATGTGTTGATTTACTGAAAAAAGACACTACAAAAGTGTGAACATTGTAACATTTGAAAATAAATCTTGTTTCTCCAACCATTCAATAGATTGGACGAACTCACTCGTCACACGCATTGAAAAGTATTGTGATCGCATTCATTTCTGGAGCTGTCAAACCGTTTGCATGATTTCATCATATCAAAATCGTATTGCATAAACGAAATTTGCTAATTTACATTTTGCGTTCCGCCATTTTCGTAAACAACAATTTTCTCAAACTTTATTCAAAAGCAACGATAAATTCTACCGATAATTTCAACTCATTGGCATTTTAATCGCAATCCGATGTGATTTGGAATAATTTAATGAAAACAAAATTGAAACTATAAGTAATCTTCAATTGTGTGATTTCATAGGAGATTGCTATCGATTGAACTTTAATTGAACGTAAGTAAAACGCCATTTTTTCAGCGCATTAACTGAGACCAAAAAAACGATAATTAGAAACAGGTAATTTCTATTGCGATAACGAAAAAAACATGATAAATCAACAGAAATTGTGACAATAAAAAAAATTCGAATTTTCAATGGTGTTTGTTTGTTTGGTTTTCTTCCATTTGCTCAGTGCAGCACAACAGTTTGACAGGTGCTATTGCAGAACGTGAACAAAAGTCCCGAAACCGATTAGCGAACACTGGCATTCCTATTCCAAATCGCTTCGCAATGGCACAAGCATCAGCTTCGATCGTTTACAAGAATGTGTTGCCGTGGCGCGGCTGCGAGAAGTTGTATTTGAACACCCGAACAGCTGACGTGTTCTTCGTATTTGAATCCGATGATGAAGACACCGTGAAAATTCC